ATAGGACAGGTGACCTGGTCTCCCACAGTGTGAGAAATGCAAAATGCTGCATGAACTTTTCATCAACAAACTAGCCAAATCCACATCCTGTTTGGAAGAGCAGAGTTTTGTGTAATCCCTTAATACTGCTGTAGAAAGCATCTGTTATTTGTTGCTCTTCAAAGCCAGCCCAGTTCTATAGTTGCTAATTATTTATTTTTCACTTGTGAAGACTGTCTCTGTGTTCTCCCAGTGACAGGAGCTTGAAGGCTAACACTATCCCTGTGGTAACTGCCACCAACAGCAAATATAAAAAACTTCATGCAATGAAACCAGAAGTACCAGCTACAACTGCATCCAATTTAACAAACAGAGAATGATGGTCAGTACACAGAAAACATGGACCTGACTTTGATATTCAAGTAGACCCAGCTCCTTTCTCCCCCGAGATTCTAAAGTATATCCTGGGATTGTAGTATTTTCTCCTTAAAAAACACTTTGTTCCCATGCCACCATATGAAGAAACATGTCAACAATGAAAAGCAGAGAAAATCCACACACTATTCCCACTGATTTCTAATCTTTTCCAAATATTGCTACAGTAAGTTGCTACCCTGTTATACTTCACATTAACATGAATTGTGTCAGATTAATGTAATTTTCGTGTTATTTCAAATCTAAGCTCACAAAAGTTGCAAGTGACTCCCATGGCTCAATTCAGGTCTGAAGCCTCCCACATGTCCTTACCAAACACACGGCCTGGAGTGCCAGCAACAACATGCTGCCCATAATCCAGCTTTCGGATATCTTCACCCACATTGGTCCCTCCGATGCAGGCGTGACACTGGACATTCATGTAGTCTCCCAGAGCAAGAAGACCCTGTGTTGATACAGAGGAATGGCTTAAATAACTGATCTCCCATGAAGTCTGTATTTGTGAAGGGATGCAGGTCTGCCAGACAGTGGGTTTTAAAAGAGATGCAAGCACAAGCAGTTAGGATTTTTTATGTTTGTTACCCAAACCTCCTCAAAAGCAGGTTCCCAACCTATGGGGCTCACAACTAGTTCCCTGGGGGCTCACAACTGCTCTAAAAGTGCTGTTCTTCAAAAGCAGCAGCTTTGAGCTCTGCTGGGGAACACCTGAGGGTCAGCCTCAAGCCTTGCAAGTGCTTTACAGATGGTGATTTAAATGCTCCTACCTTCTGAATCTGTACAGCCAGCTCCCGAGTTGGTGCCAAGATCAATGCCTGGGTCTCACGAACCTGATTAAAACAAGTGATCACAGAGCAGTTAATCACAGGGCAGATATCTTATGTGCAAGAGAGACTACGGACCCATAGTGCTCTGAAATGTCACACTGGAATGATTAACTGGAATTTTGTCATAAAACCTAGTGTTTGCAAGGATCAGTACTCCTAAGAAGCTGCTCACAAAGAGAACACTTACACAGTAATAGCCTCTTAGTGAAGTTACTTTTGACAAGACTTATGCAGTGCTTTGAGAGCTATTTTTCATTCCTACCTAATTTCTAAAAACAATTATACAAGTGTGTATTATTGCAAAAAGAGAGATACGATTTTAAATCACTTTAATTTTGTACGTTCAGATCAGATAAAATCTTTGCATTGCACATGGACAGTCTCATGCTTGAAAAATATTATAAGCACTTTACAGTAATTAAGCAAAAAGATCAACTTTTAAATTAGAACATGCAACATCTATTTTATATCCCAGGCACTAAGGGGTGAATAACAATCTAAGCCTTATTTAAGAGGGCCCACAGAAATCATCATTTTATTCAACAGCATGTACACATTTAAGTTGTAATTAAAAAGCAATTGCATAGACATGACACTCCCAACTATAACAAAAGCAAGCATTTGTCAAGTCAAAAATCCAGGTTTGATGCTGTGCAATGTGTACCAATTGTTCAGACAGGTTGCTGATGCTGTTAGGATCATTTGAGGACAGTTCTGTCTGCTGGGAGACTAATTTAGCCCTCTAATATGTGAAAGAGATCAGCTGTTATAGCCAACTTTGTAACTGCAAGATTTTATCAGGACAGATTTTGCACTGTTAAACAGCGTGAGTTTAATAGTGAAATTGTTCAGAATCTGCTGAAATTTTCAGCCAGAAGTTTGTCTGAGGTTCACTGCCCATAATTAAAAGATTTCAATGTGAAATTTCATTTATATACTTTAAAAAAATAAGGCTTTTCTGAAGAAGATTCTAGCAATTTAGTTTAAAATACCTTTTACCACATGTTATGAGAGTACCTGTATATCCAGGCATTGTAGAACAGAGATGGAGAATGTTGCCGTCTTCCCTGTTCCTGACTGTGACCTGAGAAACAGATGCTTGGTGAACACTCTGGAAGTCTGGATAAACAATTCAGGCAATTTCAACACATTCCACCCCTCTGCTCTTTGCCACTCGTTCACTGCAAAGAAGTCTTGCCAACACTCTATCTGACAAAGGTATCATAGAATTGAATAACGGTTTGGGTTGGAAAGGACCTTTAAGCTCATTTGGTTCCAACTCCCTGCCATGGGCAGGGACACCTTCAACTAGACCAGGCTGGTCCAAGCCCCATCCAAAGTTGCAGGAATGGGGCATCCACAGCTTCCTGGGCAACCTTTTCCAGTACCTCATGACCTTCACAGTAAAGAATTTAATCCCAGTATCTCATAAACCTCCTCTCTGTCAGTCTAAAGCCATTCCCTCTCATCATGTCAGTACACGTCCTTGTCAAAAGCCCCTCTCCACGTTTCTTGTTGGCCTCTTTAGGCACTGGAAGCTGCTCTAAGGTATCCACGGAGCCTTCTCTTCTCCAGGCTGAACAAGCCCAGCTCTCTCAGCCTGTCTCCACTGCAGAGGTTATGGTCACAGCGTGATGTGCAGACAAGCAGCTTTGACAACTACAGTATCAGAGACAGAGCACTGTGTTGCAGGGTCCTCAGCTTCTGCATTTCTACTCCTTATAAGACCAACACTTAAAATTCCTACAATTCATCATTCTTTTTTTCTTTTAAGGTATATGGTCGATAAGCCAGTACAATTTGGAAGGTCAGCAATTCCCTCTAGTGACCTAGAAAGATTTCTTTTTCAGTGGGATACACATCCTTCTTTATTTCTAAAAACATAATAGGTTTTCTTCTGCTTACTTTTTTCCTTGAGACTGCAGTTATCTCTCTTCCTCCCTGCCTTTGCTAGAAAACATTCCCAAGAGTTTCAGAGCCCTACTGTTTGAGAACACATGGTTCTCAACACATCCTAACTGAACCTTTATTATCTAAACATAAGTAACATTAGCAACTGTTTGGATCACTGTGCTACGTGCATGCTAGCCACTTTCACCCCGTTTGATCATGATGTGACTTCCCTAATCCTGCCATGCAGCAGCATGAGACCATGACCAATATCTGAATGGGGCCTACAAGGATGCCAGAGAGGGACTCTTTATCAGGGACAACAGCAATAGGACAAGGAGTAACGGATTCAAACTTAAACAGGTGACACTGAGGTTAGATATAAGAAAGAAATCCTTCACTATGGGAGCTGTGAGGCCCTGGCACAGGCTGCCCTGATAAGTGGTAAATTCCTCATCCCTGGAACTGTTCAAGGCCAGGTTGGACAGGGCTCAGAGCAACCTGGTCTACTAGAAGGTGTCCCTGTCTGTGACATGGGGTTGGAACCGGATGAGCTTTAAGGTCCCTTCCAACCCAAACCAGACTGTGATTCTATGAGTGACAGACCTTGCTTCTAGCTTAAAGATGAGTGCCCCCGCCCCGAGCTCGCAGCTTCCTCACGGCCCACGCCCCCCCGCCGGCAGCCCCACTTACTGGGCGATCACGTCTCTGCCCTTGATGATCTGTTTGATGGCTCTTTGCTGGATGGCCGAGGGCTTCTCAAAACCTGCGGAATCGGAAGTTACCATCAACGGGACAGTCCCGGAACCGAGCGATCGGCGGCCTCACCGCGCAGGCGCCTTGCCCGACATCCGGGTGCCGGCCCCGCCGACAGGCCTCGGCACCTCTCCCGGCCACATGCCCCCCTTTCCCCCTTCCCTCCGCCCCTGGTCGCCGCCGCCCAGCCACACACCGTAGGCGTAGATGCCCCGCAGCAGGTCCTCCCGCAGGCCCATGGTGTCGAAGGTGGGCGTCACGTCCACCTCCTCGCTCGTCTCGAACTCCACCTTCGTCATGTCCTCCTCCTTCATCAGCCGCTTCCGCGCCGAGCCGGTCGTGCCGCCGGACCCCGCTGACCCCGACATGGCTGAGGGCTGCCCTCTCCCACCTCACGCACACCCAATGGCGCCGCCGCCGAACACCGACAGGCCACTGGGCATGCGCGGAGGGTCCGTGGCTGGGCGGGGGGTATGAGGTGTGCGCATGCGCTTAGGGGAGAGGGCGGGAAGACTGCGCGCTGCTCGCGCATGCGCGGGGCGAGATCAGCGCGGCGCGAGATCAGCGCGTGCGCAAAGGTCGGGGTTGGCGCATGCGCGGGGCGAGATCAGAGCGTGCGCAAAGGTGAGGATTGGCGCATGCGCGGGGGTCGGTGAGTGGGGGCCGCGAGGTGGGTTTAGACCGGGTGCAGTGGCGGCTCCTGCGCTTGGGTCACAAGAACTCCGTGCACTGCTACGGGGTCGGGGAGGAGCGGCTGGGAAGCTGCTCTTGGAAAACGAGCTGGGGGTGCCGATTGACGGAGCTGAACATGAGCAGCTTGTATCATGTTCATCCTGGCCTGTATCTGCAGTAGTGTGGCAGCAGGGCCAGGGCAATGATCATCCTCCTGTACTGAGCACTGGTGAGGCCGCAGCTCAAATCCTGTGTTCAGTTCTGGGTCCCTCACTACAAGAGAGACATTGAGGTGCTGGAGCAGGGCCAGAGAAGGGCAGTGGGGTTGGTGAAGGGTCTGCAGCACACATGTGATGGCGAACAGCTGAGAGACCTGGGGGTGTTTAGTCTGGAGAACAGAAGGCTCAGGGGAAACCTTACCGCTTTCTGCAACTACCTGAAAAGAGGATGGAGAGAAGAGGTGACTGGTGTCTTCTCTCAGGTAACAAGCGACAGGACAAGAGGAACAGCCTCAAGGTGCACCAGGGGAGGTTTAGATTGGGTAGTAGGAAAAATTTTTCTCAGAAAAGGTGCTCAGGCATTGGAACAGGCTACTCAGGGCAGTGGTGGAATCATCATCCCTGAAAGTGTTCAAAAACTGTAGATGAGGCACTCATTGACATGGGGTAGTGGTGGCCTTGGCAGTGCTAGGGTAACGGTTGGACTAATGATCTTAAAGGCCTTTTCCAACCCAGTTGATTTTATGGTTCTATGATCTATGACTCTGGAATGTGCTGTGGGTTGGCTGTCATCACCCTGCCAGCCAGGTCAGCTCCATACAGGGTCCTGAGCAAAACTGTTAAAAAAAAAACCCGAAAATTTAAAAAAAAAAATTGTTTCATGTTCTTTTGGCTAAATACTTTGAGGTAAGAGTTCTCTGAAGACAGGTTTCTTCAAGCCTAGTATGAAATCAGTGCCCTTGGGAGATGTCACCAATTCTGTATTGGCTTCCTGGGTTCTGCTTTTCAGTTCCGCTTGGCTGAATCTCATTTACCTTTGAAGCTGATCTCAGCCCGAATTTATCTTCTGGAGCAAACAGAATGTTGTCTGGCAATCCCAATCTGACAGTTTTCACAAGACCTTCTCATGTTCCATGTTGGGCTTTCTTGTGGATACCGAGTTTTCATTGCTTAGCAGGGAGATAAAAGCACATGGTCTGTGCCTGCCAAACTGTTCCCTATGGCTGCTTTAAAGGCAGCTCAGGGTATCTTCCTGGCAGCTTGGGGTTGTTTCTAGAGCATTTTCTAGTACTGATGGGGTTCCTTTCAGTATCCAAAGCTGTCAGTTTTTCTCTACCAGTTTCCCCCACTGACTTACCTCTGCTACTTTCTTCCTCAGAGGAGAATGCACAGGGAAGCAGTGCATCCTTCCAGCATCAGCACTAGGTTTGCAAAGCCTCATCTTATTCCAGTGTGAGCCCTGGAAGAACTTAGAGGAGATCCTCAAGGTCTCTGGTGCTGTCTTGGTGGGTGAAGTGAGCAGCAAGGTCTTTCAGCAAACAGGCAGACAGGGTGGATGAAGCACTTCCAGTCCGGTTTGTGATGGGGTGGCAGGATTTGGCCACCCTAGGGCTGGGGAAAATCGGGGGTAAATGTGATCTAAGCCTGTCTGTGAGATGGGAGGGAGATCTCTGAAAGACTGGAGGGTGGTGAAATGGTGTAACAAAAGAAGTCCTCTTGCACTGTTAGAAGAGGGAGAGAGTGATTTCAGGCTGTGCTGTCCTTGCAGAGGCTGAGTAGCACGTGGAGGAGCAGGTGAGCCTGGCAGAGCTGCCTGCAGCGTTGGACAACACACTCATGGTTTCCAGGAGTGGGCTTCAGTGTGCAGCTCTCATGTCCTACAGATACAAACTGCAGTGCCTCAAGTAAGGGTGTTGCTCCCTGTAAAAACAGGCCTTCTCTGGGGTGCCTGAGATGTTTCTTAATGCACTGCTCACCATGCCTGCAGGATCCAGGTGAGGCAGGTTGCCAGGGAGAGGGACAAGGCGAGGCTGGACTTGCAGAAAGCGGAGAGACGCTGCCTGCGGCTCGGCAGGGAGCTGGATAAGCAATACGTTGCTCTCGAGCACACCCAGAGCAAGCTCAGGTAGGAGGGGTCCTTTTGGTGGAGCAGTGAAAATGTTTTCTTGTTCCTTGCAGCCTCTCCCTCCCTTCTCTTTATGAATCTCCCAATTGTTTTGCCATTGTGTCAGCGACAGAGAAAGAAGTCCCTGAAGCCCCATACCGTCTACTGAGGGGGGGTGTCTGGACCTTGTGGCCATCTGAGATCACACTCCAGGTGCCCCAGTCTTGTTGCTTTTTCCCCCCAGGGATTTTCAAGCAGAAACAGAGGCAAAAGACGTGCTTTTGCAGCAAGCACTCAGTCACCAAGCAAAGCTGGAGGCTGATACACAGCTCTTCCGGGGCACAGAGGCCAGCTGGCAAGGGAGACTGAACCACACCATGAAAGTAAGTAGAATGGCCCTGGTGAAACATCTTCACTTCTTCAGAGGAGGCAGAGCAGAGGTGCTGATAAAGATGAGCCGTTTGTGTTGCTCTTGCTGGGAAGGAAGAAGTTTTATGCAGAAACATCATCAGACACATCCATACTATTGATTTAAATACAGAACTTTTTCCCTTCCCATGACATTATTAAACACCCATGTTGTCTGTCAGGAGTGGTTTGGCCCTTGCCAACACCTGAACACCTGGTGGCTGAGGCTAAAATTGTGCCAAGGACCATGCCAAAAGCAAATGGGATACTGTCCATGTGCCTGGCATTTTCCCAGTGCTGTTCAATGTACAAGTACAGATGGAGACAGCTCAGAACTTGTTGCCTTTGTTGACTGTGGGGAAAGCATAGTTTTGTGAAGTAGAGGTGGAGATGAGCCTTGTGGGGCTGTAAGCTCTTACTCTGCAAAACCCACTCCTATGTCTGTCTTTTGGAGATAAACCAAACATCAGCCCATGTGGTGTGTGTCAGCAGCATGCTGGCTGAAGCAGGATCTCTTGGGAACTGTGCTGTGTTTTACATGCCTATTGTTTTACAGCTTCCTCATGAAGTCCCGTGGCTGGTGAACCCCTCCTGCAATGTGAGGACCCACAATATCCCAAAAATCTTCTCCCTTTTGTCTGCAGGAGAACATAGAGCTGCAAAACAAGGTCACGGAGATGACTGAGAAACTGGCAGCCTCTGAGAAGCTGATGTTGGAGTTGCAGAAACAACTAAACTTTGTTGTGAAAGACAAGGTAACCTTTCTTTCTCTATTGCAGTTAAATAGGAACTTTAGAGGAACTCATCAAAAGATTGGTCTTTTTCTGTGAAATCTTGTGTATTTTGGGTCAGTTGTTATGGTCTTCCCATCTTCAAACTCTCCTGCACATTAATGGCAACTGGGAAAGAAAAAATACTGACTTTTAACTTAGGCCTTTTGAAGCTTGAAAAAAAAAGAAGAAGGATTAGCAAAGTTTGCAATTGCAGAAAATTCTACTAATCTGCAGTCTTCAAATGAAGGACTTCGGAGTTTGGTTTCCAGAAAAGAAAATATTTCTTTTTCAAAAGTATTGATATAAGTGGTTACTTTTAGTGTCTTCCACTCCAGAAAGGCACCTGGTAAAATGGATGTGGGGAGAGAAATGCATCTATGATCTTGTTAGGCAGTTTGGGAAGGCTGGCTGCCTGCAGTTTGGTACCTCATACATGAAAGAAAATGCTTTTCCTCTTTCTGCATCTAACCCATCCCACAGGTGTCCATATGAACCCCTCCACTGAATCTATGTAGGCTGTAGCACTGTGAGCTTATGGCTCTCCAGTTGGAGAGGTGTTCATTCCCTTGATGATGTTTCCCTGTGCTTGTGCAGCTGGGCCAGGTGGGGTCCCACAGTCCAGAGCTCCTGAACCAGAGTGAGTGCTTCGCAGAGATTGTCCTGGAGTACGAGCGACAGTGCCAGGTACAGATGGGCAGCTCTCCAGCGGAGCTGTTGTGAAAGCACAGCTCCCATCAGCACGTCCATTGGCTTGGGGGAGAGGAAGGAGGCAGCTCTGATCAGAGTGCAGAGGGGTGATACCTCCTGTTTTGCTCAGAGTCCTTTGCCAGGAGGCAGGACACAGCAGTGCCCCCAGTAAAGCAGCCTGTCTCCTTCTCCTGCAGCCCTCCATGGGGTATGGAGGTATACCTTCCTGGTATACTGGCAGGGGGAAGTAGGGCTGGATTGTAAATTCTTCCTTTCCTGCCATACTGTAGCCACAGGCTTATTGTTTGGGAACAGTGTAGCTCTGTGTATGAGGACAGACCACCTTGCATCTGAAATGCAAGGAGAAAGCTGTTCTCCCTGTGTGGAAAGCATGTTGTCAGCTAAATTCTATCTTTTTGTTTTTCCCTTCTTCCTTTTGGCCCACATTTTAACAACTCCCACAAAAATTGTTGCTGATGGGCTCTGCTAGAGAGTCAAGGTGAGCTTGTCCTGAGCACACACCTGGTGTATGTGTGTGGCCCAGGCATTGGTGTTGTGTGTATTGTACTTTATGCAGGGTGCTGTGCCCCTGCCCAGAGCTTTGGGCTTTCTGGGAAGTCAGCACCGCCTCCATTTCCCTTCTCTTCTCTTGTGTATCTTGCATGCTTTGAGTTGCTGGATGCTCTGTGCCTCGACTCCTGAGTCCTGTGCTCATTGCACTGCCCGTGTTTCCAAGTCCTGTGTGTGACTGGGGAGCACCACTGAGTAGAGACGATGAGTTACCAAATCCCCCCAGCAGGGGCAGAAATCTGCAGTTTCAGCGAAGCCATTTCATGGATGCAGCAGACTCTTGAAGCTGTAATTAAAGGCAAACATGCTGGAGCACTACCCAGTGCAACATTGCTCCAGGTGGCACCAGAGGGTTGAAGATGCTCTGTGCTGCAATTTTTCCTCCCATTGAGCAGCCCCAGAGTTGCCTGTGAGAATGCTGATGGAGGAACAGATTTATCCTTGTTGGATGCTGTTAGCCCCCCTCCTCCTCTGCTCTCCTGTTTAGAATGGAGGTTAAACAAGCTGCGTTTGCATTTGTCTAGATCTGCTCAATAATATTTATTAATGGGGATCTTTGGAAGTATCGTAGTTCAGTCTCCATCATTTTCCTGGGTGGCAGCATATGGGATATAATTTGATGTCTGTTCAAAGTGGAACATTCAGAGCCTGGAAACGTTCCCTTCCTGAGCCCTGTTGGACTTGTCTTACTGCAAATACTGCTCTTGCTTTGTCTGCATACAGTAATGCTTGTTGGCTAGCCCAGATACCCACAGGAATGTCTTGAGAATGTAGCACAAACCTCTGGTCTATGTAAGGGGTTATACTGAGATCATGGTGTTTCTTGTGTGTTGTTCACTAGCACGGGTTGTGTTTAGATGAGGAGGGGTCTCAGGAGGTTCAGCCTTCTGAGGTGTCTGCAGAAACCCATGGTTTTGTGTGATTTTGCATGCAGGGGCATTTGCTTGTGGCTCTTCGTGCTTCACATTGTGTAATGATGGTAGTCACAATCATATGGGCTTGTATTTTTTTTCTGTCTTTTCAAAAATCTCTCATTTCTGCCTGTTGGGGGAGGAAGACAATTCTTCTGCCTTATTCTGACTGTGCTGGTGAGGGGACTATGCACTTCATGCTGCAAGATCCTCTGAGTACACATGGCTGTTGGGAGTCATGGGTGCTCAGCCCCCTGCAGCCCTGGGGAGCTTTGTAGCTGCATCAGTCTCTGCTTCAGGTGCTGTGTGACCAGAATGGATTGCTGCGAAGGGAGCTGGAAAGGCTGTATCTCCAACTACAGGAGAGCAGGGCTGAGAGAGGGCTGCCAGCAGGAGGTAAAATGGAGGAGGGTTTGATGCCTCTCCATGTTCTCAGCAAGGACAAGGTCCTCTCCACACTGGAGTTTCCATGGGTGTGTGTGGTGGTTTATTGTGCCTGAGCTGCTGCTGCCAGTTCTCATACTGAGCAGCCATGGGAGGGAAGAAGGGGATAATGGGTGGTGAGGATGAGGGAGATCAGGGAAAGGAGACTCTTCCATCTCGAAGGCTGGTGATGGTGACCTGTGGACTAGGCAGCTGGGAGTGAACAGGAAGATTTTCACTGTGATGAATGTTGAAGAAACACAGTATGATGAAGAGGAAGTAGCCCCACACTGTGGGTTGTGAGGTTAGGTTGAGCATTAGGAAAAAACCTTTTGGCCCAAGGGGGCGATGCAGCCCTGAGACTGGTTGCCAGATAGATGGGAGATCTCTGTCTTTTGGGGTTGCATGAGCTTGACTAGATGAAGTTGCATCCATCCTGATCAGGACAGCCTGTCTTGTCTTGTAGGCCTGTCCTCACAGGACTCCTCTCCTGTGTGCCACCATCCCAGCCCTCTGCATCCCACTTCTGTGTGCGCAGAGACATCACTCTCAGTGGAGCAGCTCCAAGAGCAGATGCGGGACCTGAAGGTGCAGCTGGAAATGAAGGTGAGGGGAGTGGGGGGAAATTTCCTGACTTCTTGGCACAACTGCTTGGCAGACACCCTGCTACAGCTTGGCTGATGGGGTGTCTGCTGGAGATTTCAGGCTGGGGAGCAGACTGGTACCTTGTCTCTCTGCTGGGAGCATGTGCTTCTCTTAGCTGGTAGGAGGATTTGAAGCCCTCACTGGCTGGCAAAGGCTTTGTGGAAATCTCTGTCATCCTGCAAAATACTTGTGTGGGTCTTGCTCTTTATGGGGAGCCAGAGATTACTCAGTGTTGGTGTCACAGTAAAACCAGTGGCAGGACTAAGATGTGAAGCAGATGGGTGTCTCCTGGGAGCATGGCGGGTATTAGAGCCCTGTCTCCCTGGGCTTGCAGCACACTTTTAAGCAGCTTGCCTAAGTTGACAGTATGAGCCCAGCCACACTGGGCTCTAGACAGCAGTGAGTGCTCATGTGAGAAGGCTCAGTTTCCACTTTCACTCCTGCTTTTGCTGCTGAACTGGGAGGTCAGGGATGCTTGCTGGGTTTCCACTGCAGCACTACAAGAGTGAATCCTAGACTGTCACAGCTGATGCAGAGTTCAAGGCACACAAAGCTGTTTGCAGATCTGCCCGCTTTGTAGTCCTGCCTTTGTGCTGATCAAATCCTGGAGTTTCCGGCATTTACAGGGAAGCCTTGGGGAGTAGCAGCTACACATCTTGACAAGGAACCACTCTGTGGGGTGGAGGAGGAATATGAGGAGCAGAGGCAGATGATGCCCTCACATCTCCCTTCTCCTCTCTGGGGTCCCTTGCAAAAAATGGAGAAGGGAGAAGGTTGTTGGGAAAAGCTGGGGACTACCAATATCTGCCTATTAGAGGCTGCTGTGTGAGACTTGGTTATTGCTCTAAGTTCAGTAGGGCCTAGAACTGCCTGAAGAGTGTCCCCTGTTGAGAGGGATCAAGAGGATTAATCTGAGCAGAGCTATTGGATGAGAGGGGAGCTCTCAGGATTACGGTGCTAATACCCAAATCCTGTCTTCTCCCAACAGATAAACTATTACGAGGAGAAAATCAAGTTAATGAGGAAAAACTTTGAGAGTGAGAGGAAGGACAGTGAGGAAAGCTTCAGGACTGAGATATGCAAGATGGAAGACCAGAAAAGAGACCTGGAAGAAACAGTTGCAAAGTACCAGGCTGTAATTGATCACCTGAAAGAGAAAAAATGTGTGTGCAGCATGGAGCTGGAGGAGAGGTTTGAGGTGGAGCAGTCCAGGGTGGGACAGCAGCACACTGAAGACATTTACCATCCAGGGCAGCAGCTGGACCAGGAGGGAGGAGAGCTGAGGATGTGGCGCAGGGACAGAGAGAGCCTGAGGTCTGGTACTGATCTCTTTCTCTGGCTAAGAGGGAGACTAGGAGTGCATCCCCTGCTCATACCAGAGTAGGTTGGGCTGATTCCTCCTGGGGATGGATAACTGCTTTAATTTGGAAGAAAATTTGGACAGTATTGCAGGGCTGCAGCTGTTTGGAATGCGGTGTCTGAACTCACCTTAAGTGAATGTTTGATATTTCAAGACTTAAGTTTCCCTGCATGTTCCACAAGCTTGCGTCAGAGGCAGTGCCCACCAAAGATTGTACCTCAAAACAGTGGGAGGAGTGAGAGCTTTCATCAGCGTTTTCTTAGTATTTCTTCTCTTTCTTGGTCCTTCAGCAAACTTGCACCTACTTGCTAGATCATCGCAACTGGCTGTCTTTAAAGCAGAAAAAAATAGCTTAAATTTCTCTTTATAGCAAAACAGACTGGCTTGTGGGAGGGTAAGGTTGTCACTAAATGGCTGTTCATCTTTCTCTTCTTGTGCTTTTGGTGCTAGTTCTGCAAACTCCCCAGGATGGCCTTGCAGAGGAGACTGAAGGAGAATTGGACAGGAAACTTCCCTGTCCATGCCTGCCCCCTCTTGCTTCCCAGCACACCCCACCACTACCCTTAGGCTTTCCTCATGTCTCTTTGCTGGTGTACGTCCCTTCAGGAGCAGAGTCCCCTTTGGCAATAACCAAGCAGAGGGTTTTACTAAGTCATTATCCCTGTTTTAGGGATGAGGAGCTGAGATACGGGGTAGGTGTGGCAGAAAGGAGGTGACTTCACTGAAGTTTGTGTCAGACCAGGGGAGCAAACCCAAATAACAGGAATACAAGGCATTTGAGCTGTGTTACCACCATCTCTGGTGACTGGTGGAGGGACTGGCTGTGGTAGGGAGCTTTCAGAGTTGTTGGACAACCTCTGATGGATGAGTGAGAAGTGTAGAACTTCTCAAAGTGGTGTGGGAGCTTTCTGTAATGTTTAAGTAATTGCCTTGACTTTGCAACCTAAAGAAAACTTCTCATTGCCTCTCCAGCAAAAGTATGTTCTGAAGCTGGCTGAGCTCTTCAAGCTGTGTTATCAAATCCAGGTCAGCAAAACGGCTTTTATGTTTTGGAAAGACGCAGAGGTTGAGCATGGTCAAGAGCTGTTATGGAGTGTATGGCTGTGTGACAACAGCTGTAAGGCTCTGTAGCAGCAGCATTGGTGTGAGAGGTGATTTCCCAATGATAAAGGCTGCAAGGCTAGGACCTCAGGAGCCCAGGAGAGGCAGCAATGGAAGCGAAAGGAAAAGGACATGGTCTCTGTGGAAGAAGAGGCAGCTAAAATTGGAAGAGAAGATTAATGAGGAGCAAGTTAAGATGTGTGAGATGCTGGCTGCTGAGAAGGAAAAGAGAAAAAAAGCAATGAGATGAAATCGGAATAATGCAGAGATCATGGGGCTCACAGCTCAGGTACTTGAAGGGACAAGGTGTCTGGAGGGCTGCCCTCTGGGGAAAAAGGAGTGCATCCCCAAGGCTCAGATGAGCAGGTGGACCAAAGTCTGCTGCCTGTTGCAACTTTAGCACCAAAGGAACAGGAAAGAAATAAAAAACACTGTGATGGATGGACCAGTGTGGACATCTGTTGCAGTGAATGGCCTGCTCAATCTAGAAGCTGGAGCCAGAGCAGAAAGCTTTTGTCAAGGAGAAATGAAATCTTGATAGACAAGGGAATGTGCTTGGGAAGGAGGCAGAGAGAGCAAAGTTAAATGTCTGCCTTCACACAGCATGCAAAAGCAGTATGTTAGGACATAGACTTGATCTGAAGGGCAACAAGAGGGAAAACAGCCCTGCGAGGCAGAGTGGCACAGCAGCATAGAAAGAAACATGACATTCAGGCTGTCAAAATTGAGCTGAAAAAGGAAAGGAAAGGGGTGAAACTGGAGCTGATGTAGCTGAAACATGTGCACTGCTTGGAAAATGACCCAGAGCTCAAGAGAGTAGCAGGTTTGCAGAACTGTGCTGCTGCTGAAGAAAAGCAGATGCCTTGTGAAACGTGAAGCTGCTTAACAACATGATTGTCCAAAGACACTCTTAACAGCAGCTGTGTTCTCTCTTGACACTCTCTAGCAGCAGCTATGTTCTTGCTGTGCCCCGCATGCCTTTTACTAACCACGGGAGTGTGGTCAGAGAGCTGGGATGTGATAACGTGGCTGTAGCTGGCTGTGCATTTGTCTCCTCTGCCTTGTACTGCTGTCTGTGGGTTGCTGGAGCTGCCACGGGAAGCACAGCATGTGAATCCTGATGTGAAACTGACTTTTAAAGCAGCTGCTGTGAGGAGCACCCTGCCAAGCAGGGGGAGCAAGCAGCTCACAGTCTGTGTGCTCCCTCTTGTACAAGAGAGGAAGAACTTCCCCACTCAGCTCCTCTGCTTCACACATAGAATCATAGAATAGTTAGGGTTGGAAAGGACCTTAAGATCATCTAGTTCCAACCCCCCTGCCATGGGCAGGGACACCTCACACTAAACCATGTCACCTAAGGCTTTGTCCAACCTGGCCTTGAATGCTGTCAGGGATGGAGCATTCACAGCCTCTCTGGGCAACCCATTCCCATGCCTTACCACCCTAACAGGAAAGAATTTCTTCCTTACATCCAATCTAAACTTCCCCTGTTTAAGTTTGAACCCATTACCCCTTGTCCTGTCACTACAGTAACACTACAGTAACTACATGCAACACCACAAACTGCAGTGCTGTCTACGATGGACAGTCCATTCTCCTGCACTTTTCCCTGAGGAATTTGGGTCCTGTATGGGGTTTAGCAGTAGTTGTTAGATATGACTGTCTGATTGACACAGGACTGAGCTTCCTACCCACAAGTTCCAGTATTCGTGGCCTCATGAGAGACTGGGATACCAGTAGGGATGGAAGGATAAGGAGGCATAGAGGCTGCCTTGGCTTTGGGGTCATAGCTGTTACATCCAGCAGTGTAAAATCACAAAGGCCACATAAGCAAGCTGACTTATTCAGATGTGGCTTTGTTGCAGTTGAAGGGTTGGACTTAACCACCTGGTTATCCTTAGTGAAGTCTTGGTGTGTCTTAATGAGCCAGATCTCTTAGTTTCTACTTCTTGGCAGGCCTGCAAAATAATTTCAGTCACCTGGAAGCCAAACAGATTGAGGGTCTGATGCTTTTTGTCCTTATTCACCTTTATTTCCCTTTTCTTGAAGACCTACTCCTTCTCTGCCAGTCTCTTGATGGTCCTCACATTTTGCGTGAGTTATTGGATGGTTTCTTTAGTTTCTGCTGTCCTTGCAAGTCAAATGGGGATGGAGCAGGGAGCCAGTGTAGAACGCCAAGATCAAACTGGGCTTTTGCATGGTGTTCTCACACTGTCTCTCCCTGCAGGGAAGAGCTGTGCCAGCTGCTGGAGGAGAACAGTGTGCTGAAAAGTCAGCTTGGGAGACTTCAGCAAGAGCTGAGGCTGGCAAAGGAGAAGGGCAGTGAACACAATGGGTAAGAGAGGAGCCAGCTGTAGGAAGCTGCAAATGGGCGGAGAGCTGATGCACGTAAAAGGAACAGCCACTCAGGTGCATTTACCAGATTTCAGATGACTTGTTCCTGCCTTTTGTTTTCTTGTTTCTGAGCAAGCCAGCACTCTCACACCCTTTGCTCACTTAAAAGCAGCCAGCCAGTGCTGGGACAGGCTTGAGGAGGTCAGAGCACAGGAACCAGAGCTGGGTTTGGGGAAGGCTGTGGGGATAGGTATGCTGATGGAGGAAACTATGGGCTTCTTCACTACACAAGCATGTTGGCCTGCTGCTGCCTTAGGAAGCTTGAGGTAGGTACTAAGGTCACCCACTGAACCATAAATCCAAGGAGAGCCATGTTTCTGGTGTGGATAGTCCCAAGACTTTGCTAAGATGGCTCTCCTACTGTTCTTCATCCCCTGATTTTTAGGTCTCCGAGAGTGCTGCAGGACTTTGGGTGTCCCCAACTGTCTGCCCTGGGTTGGGCTGAGTGACCTGTTGGATCAGAGACACCTGACCCACTGATGAATCAGTTCAGGACCATATCTGTTATGGCCTGTCTTTGCTTCCTCTTGCAAACCAAAACCAGACATGTGGCTCCCCAGAACGAGGCCCTTCCCTGGGGGGGACATGGTTTCCTTGTCTCTGGCTTGAAGCTCATAATTTTCCTCTCCCTGACAGGAAGCACAGGAGTCAGTTGGGCAGAGAGAAGTTGGAAGAACTGGCTGAAATACCAGAGTTAACAGCGTTGGTAAGAAGCCGTTAACACTGACAGGCTCTTGGCTGAAGGATATAGGAGGACAAAGCCTAAGTGTGCTTATAGAGAATGGGAATGTTTGTTTCAAATGTTCAAACCCAGTCTTGCTTTGAAAAGCCAACTTCATTTTATAGCTTGTCAAGTAGAGACAATTTGGGTGACAAAAGCCAGTGAAGGTCTTACAGAGGGTGTTACTACAAAATCTTTAATGAGGTTCTTTTTACCTGCTTGTACTCTTCCTCCTAGAGGTTTTGCTCACTCCCAGCCGCAAACATGCATGCTAACAAGCCCTTGGACATGTGTGCACACAAGCCCTGGCCAGGATTCCTTGTGTGTAACATGGACAAGGGTTGCAGGCTGTTCATTCCTCATCCCATTCCTCATTCCTGGGAACCACAACCTGTTTTTTGGACATGTCTTGTACTCTCTGGGGCCTTCAGCTGCAGCAGTGTGGCTTTTGCTGGCCCTTGCTGGTTACATCTTCCGTTAATTATCAGCCACAAGCCTGCTGCCTGTTGTTTGCTTTTTCTCCTTTGGAGCAACGCTCTCTGGGTTTCCCGTTTTCCTGGGATGCTAGCAGAGGAATGGGGTGTAGGGTGTGTTGCTGCCCTGCTGTTAGATGCAGATTTTCTCCTGACATGTTACCTGTGCAGTGGTCTGGTCAGAGCATGGGGCAGAAACAGCACATTGCTCAGCATTACCGCTAGGGATAGTGTCCTAGGAGCAATGTCTAAGGGGTGGATACCCTTTAGTGTTGATGCACGCTGCTCTTGTAACCCTTACTCTGCTCCTTCATCTGGTACTTTTACACATGCACGTGTCCATTTATACTGTATTGTTTCCAGTCTAAGTATTTCTATTTAACATCATGAAATCACAGAATGTTTTGGGTTGGAAGGGACCTTAAAGGTCATTTTAGTTCCAACACCCTGCCGCAGGCAGGGACACCTTCTGCTAGACCTGTCACTATCCCCCTTGTAAAAGGTCCCTCTCCAGATTTCTTGTTGGCCGCTTCAGGCACTAGAAGCTGCTCGGAGCCTTCTCTTCTCCAGGTTGAACAAGCCCAACTCTCAGCCAGTTTCTGTAGCAGAGGTGCTCCAGCCCGTGGAGCATCTCTGTGGCCTCCTCTGGACTTGCTTGAGCAGGTCCACGTCTCTCTTGTGCTGTTACCCACAGAGCTGGATGCAGCACTGCGGGGGGGGGGGGGGTCTCACAAGAGCAGAGTAGAGGGGGAGTATCCCTTGTCCTCAGAAACATCCCCCAGTGACTTCCTCCAGAGCTTCCATCCGTTGAGGAATTTCTCACCTTGAATGTTGTGCTGCTTTGGTCAGGCTGGGAAATGAGGGCTCTTGTCCTGAGTGTCCACAAAGCCTTGCAGCAACAGCTGTGTTCCTGAGTGGAAACCCAGTGGGGACAGTATGGGACAGGTTAAGTCTCTGCTGCCTCTCACCCCACCCCAAGCCTCTGTGCATGAATTGGTTTCTTTTTCCTCAATCTTTTCCAGAGTGAGAAGAGCAGCAGGGAGATCTCCCACCTGAATGTAAGGATGTGTCGACTGGGCTGTGAAGTCACTGAACACCAGGCTGGCCATGGTGTTCAGTGCCCTGACACCAGCCCATTGTGGAGCCAGAGGCTTGCAGAGGCTGAGCGGCTACGAGACGCAGAGATGGCTGCAAGGCTGGAGCACCACCAGCAGCATGCAGCATGTTGGATGGAGATGGAGCTGCTTCAACAGCAGCTCAAGGCCTCGCAAGAGAAGGTGACTGTCATTCAGTTGGTGACAGGGTGGCTGCTGAGCTGTCCTTGTGATGTTGGTATTGTCCATCTCAGGACTGTATTGGACACCTTCCCTAGCAGAAAAGAGGGTCCGCTTCCTTTCTGTGGGGGACAAAGGACTCACCCTCCCACTCAGATATGTCTGAAGCAAGTTCAGGTGCAGCTTGGGATAAGTCCTTACTTGCAGCTAACCTTGTTTCCTCTGTCCTTGTCCTGTGCAGGCTGGCTGGGCAGAGGAGATGGAGGCTGAGTGAAGGTGGCTCATTTGGGAGTGCCAGGAGCTGTGGTTTCCCCATGGCTCAGCTGACAGAGGAACGAGAGGGGTGGCAGGATCAGGCAGAGATGACAGGGCCAGGCAGGCCATGTTTGAGGTGGGGGAAGTCAGAGCAGGCAAACAAGGACCACTAGGACAGAGGAAAGCCAATGTGAGAAACCTCAAAATGTATTAATATCCCTCTCCTGCTTTCTACCCTGGGAAAAGGCTCAGGGACTGGCTTTCCAGAGTACAGCTTGTGCCAGCCACTCCTAGAGCAAAGGTGGACCAAACTTGCTTCCCCTTTTGCTAGTGGCAGGAAGCAGAGGGCATGATGTACAGGCAGCGATTGAAGCCCAGCTTGCCTGTGATATATCTAAGAACAAATGCAAGCGAGCAGCCCCCTCTGCCTCCTGCCATTGCAGCACTTGAAGCTAGGACTCCCTCCCAGAGGATCCCACCAGTAACTCCTGCTTCTTGCTGCTCAGCAAGGGGAGCATCCTTCAGCAAGGGGTGTCTGTTTCTCCTGCAGCTCTCAGTGCTCTCCATTCTGGCTTTGTAGGCTTGCCCAGCACACACCACTTCCACAGTCCTGCTGCTCTGCTGTGGCCATGTTGGCATGGGAGCCAAGTGGGGGCTGAGGGTGCTTCCCAACCTCTCCCTCACCTTCGGCACACCCTGTGCCTGTCCCATTGCTGGCAAAAAGCTGTAATCGGCTATTGGCCTTTCTGTGTTGCAGCTTTTAGAAGCCAAAGCAAGCCTGAGCCTGGCCCAGACTCGGCATGCTTTGCAGTTGCAGCAGGTCAAAGCCCAGATGAACAACATGGTGCCAAGGAAACATTTTGAGGAGCTGCAAACCAGCTTGAGAGCAGAGCAATGCAAGGCTCAGCAGCTCCAGGAAAACCTCCACCGGCAGGCTGAGCAGACATGCAGGCAGCTGCTCAGGACGCAGGTAAGCAGGGAATTGCGGGAACTCAGTCAGGGGTAATAGGGTGGGAGCACTCCCAGCCGGGAAGCCACCAGAGGTTTGGGTATATCAAAGCCTATGTGGAAAATGCACTTCAACGTGCATCTGCAGTTTTCATTCTTCATGAATGTAGTCACAGCCCTGCACTCAAACAGGAACCCTCCCCTCTCTAATCCACCTACCCCAGGCTAGGTACCTTGTGCTTGAGGAGCAGGAGTTACCAGGCAGACACTCTGTTGACTCAAGCTGGGGAAAGTTTGAGCCCTGTATGTGGAGATGTAGCCTGCATATAGTGCTGTGGTTTTGTCTCAAGAGCACTGGGCAACAAGGTGTTGGGGTTTTGTTAGTTTGTGTTTTGTTTCAGGACAGTGTAATTCAATTGCACTAACCTGAGCAAAGGGAGGAAATTGTAACCTAAGGAATTAAAATGAGCAGACACAAAAACTGTATCCAAGGAAACTATGTCTCTTCTTCGGCTTTTCTGGACATGACCCAGTGATCCCCTCATGCTCTTCTTCAGAGTGTGAGGATCTCTGAGCAGGGCCCTGGGGAAATGGATAGTCCTGGATTGCCTGGGAACAACCCAACATTAGTCTTTGTTGCCTGCTGCAGGAGGAACATGAGCGTCAGCTGCAGGCAGCTATGGATCAGGCAGAGGCGCTGGAGCACAACCTCAGGAGTACTGAAGCTGTGCTGGCAGAGAGAGCAGCTCAGCTTAAAGATGCCCAGGTGAGTGGAAGAGGGGTTAGCACTGCGTGTTCCTGCCTGGCTGGGAGCCCAGCATGGGGACCGTGAACCTTTAGCCTTCTGTCCTTGCTGTAGTCCCAACTCTCCAGGAACAACCTGCTGATTGAAGAACTCTGTGAAGAGAACAGGGGGGTTGCAATGGCCCTGCAGGCAGCTGAGCTGAAGCAGAAGAGTACTGAGGAGAAGAACCAGCTGTTGGAGGAGCAAGCCTCAGCTCTGAAGCAGGTCATTGGAAAAATCACACCAGCATCTTTGAATGGGTGATAGGGCACGTGCTGTGGCAGCCTTGCCCCTGGTCCTGGCCAGGCTTTGTCAGGTATGGAAAAGATATGTCTAGGTTGGGAAATAAACCTTTTCCTCCCTGGTCTTGCCAGGATTTTCCTGGGTAGAAAGTAGAAAATGAAGAAACCAGACAGAGTCCTTTAAGGAAATTGATCCTGTGGATGGCTGAATTTTCCTACTGAAAGCAGCAGTGTTTGTGCCTTTCTCAGTGGCAGTGTGCTGTTGTAACTCAGGTCTGCCTAAGGGCAGCCATCCCACAGGAGCTGCCTGCGCTCTGCCAGCAGGTTGAGTGGTGGTGCAAAAGCTCTCTCTCTATGGAAGGCTGCTGTTGGGGCCATGATGTTGCAGCTGAAAAGCCAGGGCAGGAAAGCTTGCAAGTTCTTGCATTTGGCTTTCTCCAAACAGGAAATCTGGATTGTGGCATTAAAATGTCTGCAGTATTGCAGTACCTCCTGCCACCTCCATCTGCTCTGTATTTCAGCTGTTGTTAAACTTTTATTCCCTACAGCTTCTCTTGGGCTTTAGGAAACTCTGGCCCTCCTAAAGCCTGAGCCTACGATCAAAACCAACCTGATGCCAGATTGTTGCCTCTGTGGTGAACAGATCAGAAGGGCTGAGGGAAAAGCCTTTTTTCAGTTTGAACCTTCAAGGCTTGGGGCAGGGCTGGTGACCCATCATCAGGAGCACTGCCCTCCTTCAAAGGATACCAGAAGACATGGTAAGTGAACTGCATCATCTTGCCTTCTTTGTGGCCCTCACACACTGGCAGTGAGCACTGCTCTTGCCAAAATAAGTTGTATAAAAGGTCACAAAGTCAAGCATTCACATTAGCAAATGCCCAAATTTTTTATCTGCCCATAGTGTTGCCCTCTGGATCATTGTCACCAGCGCCCTGCCTTGCTCTGTGCAGAGCAGAGGGTATTTACATGGGTGCTGTGGTTGCCACTAGTTGTGAAAGGACTCCTAGGGTTTTGGGGACTATGGAGACCACTGTACAAGACAGACTACACAAGCCTGTCTGGATCAGGGTAGCAAAGCTGGACAAAGTTAATACAAAGAAGAGGGCTTAAAAATAGCTTAAGCTGTTGCTGGTAGTTCAAGAATAAAAAGGGACAAATAGGCTGAGCTGAAACTCAGCCACTGCTTTTAAGTCCCAGCATGCCAGGGCAGAGGGGTTCCCAGGCCCTGGGACAGTAACAGGAGGTGGGTGGAGGCTGACTAAGGCTTCCTTGATCGAAGACTGTTTTTTCTCCCTGGTGGATGAATGCTGAGACTCGAGTCTTACCTAGGGCTTATGTTTTTGGAAGTGTTACCTCTCAGCCACTACTCAAGAGCGAACACCTCCATTAGGAACACCAGACAGGGAGAGCGGTTCTTCAGCCTTGCTCTGACTTTGTGCTAAGTAAAAACCTTATAATCTTCTCCCTTATCCATTCCCACTCCAAATAATCCCTATACCCTGCCAGATTGTGCTCTGGAGAATGTGATTCTTCCCAGAGGAACACAAGCACAGCCCAGGTGTGCTGTGTGAAACCATGGTGAGGCCCATGACCCGAACTGCAGCCAGTGCTCATTCACTCAGCACCTTAAGAAACATTTATAGGCTTTTGGTGAGAGTCAAGGCTTCATGTGTATCTTAGAAAGAAGCTTATACAGCCTCATCTGACACTTGGAAGAGCAGCTGCACTGAGACACCTAAATAACCAGTTGAGCATCAACCTGCAAGGTCCAGATGGGTTGGGCCAGAGAACCAGGTCAGAGTGTTTAAACAAACAATGTTAACTCTTGAAAAACACTCAATTGAAGGTGAAGCCATTTTTATTTTGCAATCTTGGAGCTGTCCTGCCTTCTGGAGCCCACCTGGTTGGTGTCTTACATGCACAGTGTGAACAAAGAACTGCTCTAGACAAAAATGCATTCATAAAACCTACTTGTAGCTGAGGGCCTTGGATAGACTCCCCTCACCCCCCAGTGCCACCCCCACTGTGCTGGATTCCCAGAATGGTTACACCACCAGGATGCACTGTGGTCAAGAAGAGCCAGCCAGTGTGGTTTGCATACTTTATAAACTCAGGGCTGATCTTAGTGTCAGGTATCGAAGAGGAGTCGCAGGGTGTGCACTGCAGAAATGGAAAGGTATCTGAAGTCCTGCACATACCAGAGTTGAGTCCCCACTGTGGGCAAGCAAAGGTTGTCCCTTCTGTCCTGCATGCTTATGAAAGAACATGCTCAAGGACTCCTTGTCTGATTAACTGCTCACATTTCCAGCGGGGTAAGAAGTGCTGCATGGAAACACAGACAGACTTTTCTTGCAACCCAGGCAGAGTGGATCTGTCACTGCACACAACCAGCTCTGTTGTGCTGTGTGCTCACTGCATTGTGGTACCAGATCAGAGCTGGGCCACACAGACAGCTTGCAGCATGTGCAAGGAGACATGCTGTGAAGCTGGGGTAAGCAGGGGGATGTCATGGGAGTGAAAGGGAAGGAAGAGAAAGGACCACACACTCTTGACATGGGTACCTGGCTATTCTTCTTCAACAGGATCGTGGTACCGTCATCGATCTCAAACTCTCCATAGTCTTTTAAACACCGCACCTACAAAGCAGAAATGCAGCTCTCAGATCATCAGATCTCCCACAGAAAACACCAGGCATCACTGCTGACTTAAAACACATGCCCCAGAACTGTAAGTATGGACACATTCCTATCTGCCTGCTGGATCCTCAACATGGAGCAGATCTGGAAATGCACAACTGGACTGATTCCATGCTCTATAGACTCTGCCTGATGTTTTCTTCCTGCCTCTGCCTGGACCAAGAAGCACCAGCGCGTCCAGTCCTCCAGAGACTAGAGGAAGAGCAGCAAGAGACACAATGTAGGAAGCAGCAGCATTTCCAGAACTTCTCCACACACATACCAGAAAAACTGTGAAACTCTTAAGGAGCAGGTTTATTGCCACTACATCTTCTTTTGAAGAGAACATCAGAGTAGAGCACTTCAGCTACTGACTTTGATGTTTCACATGCTCTTGCTTTGTTCTATCAATTGTATAAAAAGATTTATAGTTTCGTTTGTCAAAGTCCATTTAAAATAACAAGGAAAACCAATTAACATTCCTTAGCATGGGAACAAAGTTTCTAGTTGATGTAGATTTGGTTAAGTTTCTGCAAAATGCCACAAACCTTCTCATCGGGATTCAGACCACTCGCCCTACCACACAAATTCCCTTCAGAGTAGAAATGCTATCTTTCAACAGACTTTGAGCCCTCAGTAGAAGAGGGAGTAAAATGCTGACAGGCAGAACGTAAAGAGTAAATGCAGAAGCCTGTGGAAGCTTTGGTGCTCTTGAAGGCTTTGCTCAATAACATGGCTTGGGATGGGGGTGAAATTCTCTAAAAAACAATAGTTGGGCAAAAAGTTTGTTCACAAACAAAAAACACTTGCACTTACTTCTATGTACAGGCTTTTAGGAGGTTTTATGTCCTGTGTAAGGTCCAGCCCCTCTTCTCCTCCTACTGACTTCATGTAGGTAGCCAGAGACTTTTTGTACCGATTGAACCATTCCACCTGCATATATTGACATTGATTCCTCAGGCAAAGCTGAACAGCTAATGCTGAAAGAGAGGTCCCCAGTGAGTGATACCTAGTTTATCTGTGCTGTCAGACCACTGTTCCAGAGCATGTTTGTACCAGCCAAAGGTGAACGCAAGCTTTTCTAAAGGGAAAGACTGCCACGGAGAGCAATCTGGATTCAGGACACATTCTGCTAATGTTAGCATCTTTGTACATTGGTCTAGAGATGGCATTTGAGAGCAGCATGGGAAGACTTAAGTTCTGCTGGCTTTGAGTTTGATCTTCCACCTGATCCTTGAAAGTGCCAAGCATTACCTGCACTTGGTAGCTGTCTGGGGTTGTACCCGTAGACAATGAATAAACATATTGTTGTTTACAGGAAGACATGTTAAGTGTCACATTTATAGTGGGGGAATTGTACCTTATTTTGATTCTACTAAATAGATAATCCATCAGGAGGAGTAAGGAAAGAGAGGAAGAATTTAAGACAAGGCTGACTCACTTCCTCTGCTGACATGTGAAACTGGATGGCATTTGGCAGGACACTGCCATACTCCCACCTCAGTGCGCGGATCCGCAGCAACCGGTCATACCTGGGGGAAGAAACAAGGGGCAAGCCCAGCATCTTTGCTGAGGCAAACTTTGGCAATATCCCGAGGCAACAAAGCAGAGAGCAAAACCTTAGGTCATTCCACCCACCTTCCTTTAAAAGATGCGATTTTGGACCTATCCAGTAATTAAAGCGTTTAAAGAGCAGGAATAAACAGGGCCAGCGTCTGATGGTACCAGCAATGTGCACTGGGAGAGCCAGTCCCGCAGCTGCCCTGCTACCGCATCCTGCATAGGAACCGCTCGCCAGAGCCGAGCGTCCCAATACCCAGTGCTCCGAGACCTTGTCTCCTCTCAGTGGGTAAGAAGCGACGCTCTGTGACCCCGAAGGCCCGCCGTAGCCCCCCGTGCTCCGCGCCGCACTCACAGGTAGGCCAGGATGCAGCGCTGGTTCCGGAGCAGGCAGCAGTGCCGAAACCGGATGAGGAAAATGAGGTCCGTGCGTCCCGACTTCGCTTCGGACCTGGAGGAGGAGCTGCGTTACCGAGCTGCGGGACGGCTGGGAGAGAAGGGCACACTGTCGGGTTGTGCAGGACGGGACAGGACACCCCGGTACGGGCCGCGACACTCACACATCCGCTTGGTTCTGCTCGTACAGCGCGCGCATCTCTTCCAGTGCCTGTCGCAGCTCCTCCGTCTGCAACACGGGAGAGGGTCAGCGAGAGCAGACCGCCGCCGGGGCCCGTCCCGCTCCCCCCCGGCCCCGCTCACCCGGAAGGGCGGCAGGCTCCCGCCGGTGGTACGATGCAGCTCCCGCACCAGCCCCACCGCGCGCTCCCCCGCCATGCCGCCCCGCCGAGCGCGCGCGCGGGAAGACCCGGCCGCCCCCGCAGCCAATGGGAGTGGTGGGCGGGGATTCGCGGAGCGCGGGGCTGCGCGCCCCCCGCGGGAAACACCGCCGCAGTTACTTGAACCGCGCTCCGCCGGGGCTGTGTGCGGTGCGGGACGGGGGTAGAGCGCAGAGCGGTTAACCGTGAGCGGATCAGGTGGCCCCAGCCCAAGCCTGTCGTGGAGCAGCGCTGCCCCTGTGCTGGGTGAAAAGGACCTGGGTCCTTTCCCACACTAACCGTTGGTGGATGGCTTGGCTTCGCGAGCGAAGATTTGGGAAGGGCTTTAACCACGCTTACTAAGGCATGATGACCAAGGGCAAGTGGGATGTGCAAATCTGGTTGGAAAAAAGGGTGCTTAGGCAATCAGGAAGTGTCTGACCAGGACTGTCATCTCCTGAGGGATCTTGAGCTACCCATGCGCTGGTCCGCGCGCATGCAGTGTTGGATCTGCAGCTTCCCATGCACCTTGTCACCTACTGTTTAGACCCTCACCTGTCCATACAGACAAGTGAGAGTGAGCCCTTCCAGCCTGCACAGTGGATTTTTTTAGGTGAAGAGCAGCTTGCGCAGAACTGGCCTCACCCTTTACACCTGAGGTTTAACTGCCACGGCCTAGTTAGCTAGGACAGTGACAGCAAAGTCTGCAGGCTGTGGGTTTTGTAACAGTGTCCTTCTCTGATGGAAGACCATACAAGGCTAGCCGAGCTCTGTCAGCCCGGGTTTGAAGATAGGAGTTTTCCTTCTCCTTTGAGGAAGGTCTGTCTTTGCTAATGAAGATTTGGGAAGACCTTCACCCATGCAATATGAACAAGGCTGTCATCTCCTGGGTCAGTCACAAGCGACCGAAGACGCAATAGCACAACAACCAGTGTCTAGGTGGGATTCTTAGAGGTGTTCAGTCATAAGCCCGCAGATGGTAGCCTCGTGCCAGTGGCTCCTCAGCCAAGCGCAAGCACCAGGGGTTTGAACCTGTGGTTCCTCTCGTACTGAGCAGGATTACTATTGCAACAACACATCATCAGTAGGGTAAAACTAACCTGTCTCACGGTGGTCTAAACCCAGCTCACGTTCCCTATTTGTGGGTGAACAATCCAACATTTGGTGAATTCTGCTTCACAATGATAGGAAGAGCCGACATTGAAGGATCAAAAAGCGACTTCTCTATGAATGCTTGGCCGCCACAAGCCAGTTATTCCTGTGGTAACTTTCCTGACACCTCCTGCTTAAAACCCAAAAAGCCAGAATGATCGTGAGGCCCTGCTTTCACGGTCTGTATTCGTACTGAAAATCAAGATCAAGCGAGCTTTTGCCCTTCTGCTCTGCGGGAGGTTTCCATCCTCCCTGAGCTCACTTAGGACACCTATGTTACGCTTTGACAGGTGTACCACCCCAGTCAAACTCCCCACCTGCCGCTGTTCCCGGAGTAGGTCGCGCCTGGCATGTCCTGGGCACTTGGTGCCAGAAGCGAGAGCCCCCCATGGGGCTCGCTCCCCCTCCTCACCAGGTAAGTGAAAAGACAGTCAGAGTAGTGGTATTTCACCTATGGCCGGGACACCGGCGGGCTTGATGTGTGACAGGTCAGGTCCGCTGTGGACAAGCCCTGTCCCCATCACCATCTCAGAAGATAACCTCCTGCACTGTGACCTTCTTTAAGTGAGCCAAGGACATGGCAGGTAAAAATTGTTATCAACATTATTCTCAGACTAAAGCCAAATCGCGACACTGCACCAGCTACTGGGAAGAAAAGTAACTCTATCCCAACCAAAACCAGGATTGAGGGCAACAGGGCTAATGGGGGTTCAGGATGCTGCGAGGAGTTCACCAAAAGCTGGGGGGTCTCTTCCCTTTCCTTCCATGACTTCCAAATGATGCCTTTCATCAGCAGGGATTGAAGCAGGGAATGGTAGGGTGTTACCACAGACACTTTTGGGGTCTTGCTGAGAGCCCCCAGATGGATAAGGCAAAACTTTCGCATTTTTACCCTGCACTTAAAACCCAGAAAAAGTGGAGGGTGCCTGTAGCAAAACTGGTGTTACCATTCCTCTTGTCCATCTTTTCTGGGATGCTGCTCTGACAGCCTCCTCCATGTACTACCGCAGCCTTTCCCAGTGCATCTCCCTTCCACCAGCAGTGTCCTTGAAACCTGATGCCGGCAAAAACTAAAGGGAGAATAAGGAAAAAAGTGAGGTGTGTTTCTGGATGGGACAGGACATTTTTTAGCACAGGAAGCCCTGAAAAGGGAATCAATAACCCAGCACCAAGGCTTGTTCTGCTCCAGGAGTTTAGTTCCCTCACCATGAGTTTCTATGGTTACTGAGCAGTGTTTCATGCAGTGCAGTTATGCAGTGATGGGCAAAAACTGGAGGAGTGGGGACTGCACAGCAGGGCTTCTACACCATGATTGTGACACCTCAGTGTGGTTTATTATGCTTGAAGCATTTATTCTGCTCGTGTTCAGGATGATGTGGTACCTGTACAACTGAGTGGGGACCGTGGCTGGCTCTGCCAGGAGTGTTCTAAAGCTCTCAACAACTGTTTTATTTGGCATTTTAGGCATGGAGGGAAAATGCTCAGAAATACTCTGTTCAACTGAGGGCTGGGGTTGGGCTTCTGTTTCTTGGCCACATGGTGCTGCAACCAAGAGACACTGCAGTTGTGTCTTGGGGGGACAAGAGGGGTGATATGGCAGAGCTGCATGGGGGTATTGGGTCACCTCTTGTCCTTGTGCTGTCGTTGAAACAGATTCATGTCTGCCTTGTGCTGCTTCCTTCCGTAGTGCTGCATGTTTTCCAAAGGGTCTGACCTGTACATGATATATTAGTGTCTACATGGGGAGCACATTGCTGTTAACCAGACACGGAGTAATATGATCACGGCTTGAACCCAAAGCCATTGTGGGGGATTTTGCACAGCAGCAGGACAGGATGTTGGTCTTCAGAGATATGCTGCAGCCATGGGATTAATGAATAGGATCATGGAATAGTTTGGGCTGGAAGGGACCTTCAAAGGTCATCTAGTTCCAACCCCCTGCAATGAGCAGGAACATCTTCAACTAG